CTGTTGAGAGGCGATGAGGCGTTGCGGGTGTTTAATGGGTTTTTCGTTTTGAGAAGGCTGAAGAAGTTTATCATCTGGGAGTAGTCACATTTTTTTGAGGGGGGTGGGGGTCTTTAACCTCCATGCACATGTCCGTAATTTAACGTCACAAAGAAACCGTCAGTGTGTGTTTTCAATGGCCGTGATGTTTCCTACGTTAGAGGTGAGTCTGTGTTCAGGAGGAAGACGACCGCTGGGAACACTGGTTTGAGTAGTTTGAGTCGGATGAGAACTCTCTGGAGGCAGCTTCCAATGCAGAGACGTGTTTGTTGACATGCTGAACAGATCTTGTTCTGGGGGTGTGAATGAACGAGAAAACGCTCTGCACTCTTTTGCATACTATCGTAACAACTTCAAACAACGAAGGACAGTTTGTGATCTGAGATGTTCCTGCAGCTCTACTGAGTGTGTTAATGACTCAATAATGCATACAGCTGAATCACATGAGTGTGGAGGTCAATCCTAGTTTTTGATATCTGTCGAAGGAGTGCACAATAAATCATAAGGCTGCACCCACATCCTACATTCAGAAGATAATCCACACAGAAACTCATGACTCATCCAGGAGAACGGATTCCTTTCTGTTTGCTCACGACGAAGATTTTCATTATATCATCGAGGATTATCACATGTAGAGACGGTGGTCGTCAGGCTGCTCGTGACGAGTCTATTTTCATCAGTGGCGATTTTAGAGACTGGAGGGACCGTAAACAAAATTCCCTAGGGACCCCTCCCAACAGCATTCATAGCTAACATTAAGTGACCAACTTAAGTTTTCACAGGAACATGTCGGGCTCCATTAGGGAGGTATCCTACTGTCATTGTAGAATTTTCACATTCTGAACCACTGCTTTGGCTCAGATTTGTCAGCCCTCATGGGGCCCCCCTTCTAGCCTGGGACCCCAAGCAGTTACCTACCCTGTCTGTTGGCAAGATTTTCATTCTTATTAAAATAAAACAGAAGTGAGCTCAGGAACTTTCTATACAGAGCAGCTTCATGATTTCCTATCCTCCATCTTTCTGTTATTACAGTGTTTTGTTTTTTACGTTATCGCTTTCCTTTAATCTGGGACCTGAGTATCTCATTATTTATTATTTTTTAAGATTTCATTTTTTGGCTTTTTATGCCTTTATTCGAGAGAAAGGACGCGGATGGAGCCAGAAATCAGGGAGCGATAGTGGGGAATGACATGCCGGAAAGGAGCCACAGGTTGGACCCAAACCCGGGCCGCCCGCCTGGAGGACTACAGCCTCCACACACCACTGCGTCACCAGCGCCCCAACCCTTCCCCTTTTGCCTTTAATTGGATAGGACAGTTGAAGAGAGACAGGAAGTGTCGGGAGGCGATAGTGGGGGGGGGCGACATGCAGCAAGGGCCGAGGTCAGATTCAAGCCCACGCACACTTAACAAAAACTATGGCGTCCGTACATGTGGTGTGCGACATAACCGCTAGGCTATCAGTGCACCTTGAGTTTACTGACCGTCCTCTTGTTGGCTGTGATTTTAAGGCTTTCATTGAAAGTCATAATTAAACTCTTTCTGACCTGAGTTTAGAAAAGTCCATTATGAATAAAGATCATAATGATTACATAACAAGTACGTATGTGGTCATCGCAGGTCACTCTGAGTTTAGTGCAGATGTTTCTGTGAGAATATAATCCAGGCATACCAAACGGTAAATTTCAGTACACGGTGTTGGTACCGTCACAAACTTTTCCCACTCCTGAATGTTTGGGTGGCGACATTGTTGACATGCCACACAGGCATGTAAACAGAGCCAACACCTTCAGTTAATCAGAGAGCGGCCATACCACACACACACACACGCACACACACACACGTACACACACAGTGACACACACACACACACGTACACACACAGTGACACACACTTCTCGAAAATGTGTGTGAGCTCCCTGCAGGTGGAGCCTCACTCACCTGCTCCCTGCTCTGGTATTGTGTGTTGAGAAAGCCGGCTCCGCCCCTCTCCTTTGTGTGGATGAATGGAAGGTGTTAGCGTCTGAGGCTCACGCTGTTACCTGCTGAGAGAAAAAAAAGAGACTAAAATAGAAACATTGAAATCACTTAATCCCCTAAACATGCCTCTCCGACTGGCTTCACAACTCTTGCCGGACTGTTGGATTCTCGTCTTCGCTCTCCCACGTTTCTCTACTTCTGATCGTTAGTCATGAACTCGTCATCTGTTCTCAGATTAGTCAGACAATTAGAATGTCACATGTGTCCGACAGTGAAACTGGACATTCTTTTAGCGGGAGTGTTGGGATTACAGCTGTGCATTGTTTTGTTTTGTTAGATGCTACGTACATTTTATTTTACTGGATGATCATCTTTTCAGACAACGTTTCTGTAACTAAGTTCAGCCATCATTACGTCTTGGTACGTTCATAGTGATTTAACGATTGGGTTGATGGAGCGTGGCACAGCGGGAACTCCACATACACACACAGTCAGACATGCACACACACACACACACACACACACACACACACACACACACACACACACACAGTGCTGCGCTCCCCCAATGGCTCCGCTGAATCAGTCTCGCTTCTGTAACGCCTCTGTTATGGTGCGTTCCATTTGATCTCAGAAATCGGAAATTCAGAGTTGCCGGTCTTAGGTATTAGCTAACAAAACAAAGGTACTCCTGGAGGCGTCCATGTTGCTGGCCCGACTTGGTTCCAACTCTAAAACTGGAGCGTGGTTAACTCGGGGTGTGGCGTCACTCCCAGCTCAGATATCCGTGGTAAATGGAACGCACCATCACTACCTCTGAAGACGGTTCAGGGGGGGAAGGGGGATCACTTTGTCGCCCCATTACGCTCTGAGACATTCAGATTGAAGGCGAAACGTCACAGGAACGTAAAGGGCAGTCTGAATACGAGTACTGATTCAGACTTGTTAAAATAATGCAAAAAATGTCTTTATTTCACCATAATAACAGAACCTTTGAGATAAGTTACTGGTTGCTGATGGTGTTTAAAACCTATTTTTAAAGTTTTTGGACTCGTCCTTTTTGGTCTTTGTTCACATTATGACATAATGTGTAGGTTGGAAGGGTATTTGTCCAAAAACCTCATCCAAGAATCCTATTCTGGGCTTCAACAAGCTCTACTCTTGAACAAATGCCGTAGTTCAATTTGAAAACCACCAAGTGTGAAGGGGGAGAACCCTGATGTGGATCCTGAAAGTATAAGATGATGTTTACTTCTTGGACTCTGTGAGCATGAAAGACAGAATTATATTATAAGGCCGAGGGTCGGGGTTTGGCAACCAGAAAAACTCTTTTGATTCCTTCTGATCACTTTGCATATCAGAGGTGTTTGCAGTTTTGTTGACTCGTCTTTGGATGGCATACTGCTCAAAGTTCTATTTACCAATGGGTGTGTTGGTTCACCCAAGGATGATCAGCCCCTGTGTGGAGTTTTTTTTCGGTCATAAAGGTTTAGCTAAAAAAAAACAAAGAAAAGGCAAAAACATGTTGTCAATAAAATGTGAGGAACCTCTATTTGAAATCTGATACACTGAATCTTTCTGCAAGGTTTGCATCTCAAATTCAACCTTTCCCAAAAAGCAATTACAGACCCAGTGACCGAGTGTTTATGTGAAAATAAAGCCAAGACTCTGACCGCCCTAATATGGACTTGGCTGGGAGTGCGGGCTATCTGGACGGCTGGCTGTCACAGCTATAATCTTGCCTGTTGCTCGATAGCCTGGCTCCGAGTCTTTGGCTGCACGGAGAGTTAACGGTGGTTAAAGGACGGGTTATACGAGCTGATTTGGTGGCTGGCTGACTGGCACTAACCAGCTCTAGTGTAAGGGAAGTCTGGCTGAGTTTCTGCCTGGTTGTTTTCTGGTTGCTTCTTGCCCATGACTCACTGGCAGCTCGGCTGGTTATACAGGCTAGCTGCCTGGAAATGTTGGCTGACAAATCACGAGCGCGCCTGACTCACCAGATTAGTGATAATTTGGCGCTGAGCTGGTTCTGTTTCAGCGAGCAGCCTTCATCCCACTGATAGCAAACAGGATCCTTTAATCACTGCCTCCATATTACATCAACAAAGAGGGAGCCCCGCCACACACACCTTCCTCACTCTGTGTGTGTTCTCTGTGGTACAATTACACGGCCTGTTATTCACTAAAAATCACAACCAATGAAGTCCACTTCTTTGAGACGATGGTTTCATCTCGGCCTGTAACCTCCAGGAACTAATATTCTTAAAGTGTGTTCTAGGAATTCTCCAAACCAAGTCCATTTGTGTGGGCAATATTCTGAGAAGAAGTAAAAGACCTGTGCAGAAATCAATTTTTCAGATGACATCATCACCATTACGTTGTTTTGAGAGGGGGTTTTAAAAACCTCTGTTGGAAATAGCTGCTTGTCCTGGATCCAAAACTGAAACCAAAGAGATCGACTCCATCATCAAGGGTGGACTCGCCTTTTTGAGGGTATTTCTAGGTGTAGAGCTGCTGCTGATGTCAGGACATTTTCACATTTCATTGCAGAAGCAACAAAGAACCACGAGCAGACAGCGCGTCCATAGGAAAAACATTTTATTGAAAAACATTTTCAGTTTGTAACAGACTGGTGGAATGTGTGTCATTTATCCTCACTTTGAACTTGTTTTAAATGTTTGAATGATCAAAAACCATTTTTCACAGCCTGGCCATCTCATACTGCAAGGAAGAGGGGGGATGAAAAGGGGCTACAGCCACCCAGTAACCATGACGACGGGACGAAAGAAAAAACACCAGGGGGGAGAGGTGGTGGTGGGGCGGGAGAAGAACAAACAATGCAAAGATAATACTGTGTTACTTAAAACTGGACTGAAATTAAATCATAAACAAAACCAAAAAAAAAAAAACTAATTCAATAAATATTTATGGTACACACTTATGGCACAAATATGCAGCAGTCGGTTTGGCAACTTTTCTCTCTTTTTTTTTTTTAAACCAAATTACCATGGAAACAGTGCAAAAGGGGAGGGAGTGGGGAGGACACGGACTTTCCATCGAGCGCTAGCTAAAATACATAGCAAAAAATTCAAATTTTATACAAAACATCTTACTTTAAGAGTTTATAAAAAATGTTTTTATTGGGTTCTGGTCAATATTTACATAAGCTATTTACCAAAAAAGTAGTATGCTCTGTTTCAACTGAAGTGTATTCCATTTTTTCTGAACTTTTTTTTTCCATTTACTTTCCTAAAAAGGTGAATAAGGCTATTGTAACAACCCAGGATCCATATACAATACAAACATTAATGTATTTACAGTTTGTTTACCTACAGAAGTACGGTGCAAAATTACTGAGTCAAGTGACCGAGGGCTGACCATACGAGCAAGGCATTTTACAGTAGCCTGAAGTGCTTCTCCGAGCCCCCTGTGCTAAGACTCTCGCAGCATCGCCGCCACATTTCAAACAAAAAGGCTTTTGAAGCGAGCCGGGTCAATGTTGAGAGAGCGTTAGTCGAGCGGCGGCTCAGAAAAGGACGCCAGATTCAAAGAAACTAATAAGATTGTCATATTCTGCCGCAGACAGACAGCAACTAAACAGCCATTTCTTTGTCGTACGTGTGTCATCTTTTCTTGAAAACCTGTCCAGGTGTGATATATATATTTATGCGTTTTGAATGGTTTCATTTTTCACAGTTTACCTTTGTACTACGGCAACGTCGTTCAAACAGAAAAAGGTTCAAATAATACTCGAGATAATGCAGGAAATCAGAACCCGACAGCAGGCATGTGTGACGTACTTTGCTAGTTTTGTGTCATCTGTTTGTCGTTACATCTTTCAGTGGTTAAGAACACTTTCCATAGGTGTTTTTTTTTTTTCTCAGAATCGATTAAAAAAATAAATAAGAATTGCATATTTGCAGATTTTGTAGCCTCTTGGAGGCACAAACCTCAGATCATACAAGGCTTGGCTTTTCGGTGAAATTTGATGTTCTTTAAAAACAAATGACGATGGGCTGATTCATGCTCGGGGAGCAGCTTAGGTCACCTTTATGATCCTACGCTGATGATATAAATGAATGTGAATCACTGATACTTGCTCAACACACACGCACACACACACACACACACACACACATGCACAGAGAACATGAAGGGTGTGTATGAGGAGAATCGGGGCACTGGGTGTTCATGGGAGTTTTCCTTTGGGAGATGCTACACTGAGTGAGTGTGGTAGACACAGCTACTCTGCCCTTTTATACACCAATGTGAGCTATTCGGGGTCCCCTAACCCCACGCCCCAGGGGCCGGGGCCCAGGCTGCCCTAGCCGAGCCCAGAGTCTGAGGGCGAGAGCTCGTGAAAATACAGGACTCAGCGGGTCGAGAGATATCAAATAATGAAAAACCTAGATTGCATAATGTGCACTTATACCATAATATATTAACATTACTTCTTCTTCTTCTTCTTTGTGTCCTCCATCCTGCTTGACAACACCTGTGCTCTATGTGTCTATCATAAATAAATTCTGCTTTTTATTTGTATTTTTTCATCTTTGTAATGTCCTTTTTTTTTTTTTAATGTACATCTATTAAGTAAAAAAAAAAGAGTAAATCAAAAACTCACAATATGGAAATGCTAATGGAGGATGGGAAACAGTGACAATGTAAGAAGATGTCCCTGTGCTTTAAAAACAAATCAATAATAGTCAGTACGTTCGCACTCCCAACTTGCAAACACACGAGCTCAGTGACCCAGCCCTTCAAAATAAGACGCTCCGGGTACTCCCCCGCCATCGGTTCTACATGTGAAGATCTCTCTGTGGTGAAGCGATTAAACATCCTCTAAGACTTCTAAATAAAGACGTCAAGATCGTCATCATAGAGGTGCAATATTTGGTGCAACTTTCAAAATAAAAGGTTGCAGGAACTGTTGACATTTTATGAGTTTTGGGCATGCAACGACAAATACCATAAGGGTTAATGTTGTGGAAATGAAGGTGCCGAAACTCCTGTGAATATGTAATTTATGTTTTAGATGTTTTTTTGAAAAATTAGACAAAACTGATGGATGTGCGTTAAGTAAAGAACATAATCTGACAGCTTTGTTTTGATAGTCTAACTTCCTCTTGAATGCTATCATTGCTTACTTAAACATGGAGTCCTGTATGTGCAGAACCCAAAGCTATAGAGGGGGTACCTGCTGCTTCATATTTTGAAGCTCTGGGCTTCTTGCAGAGCTGTCGTGTTTAACAAGTTGGGATGTGGAGCGTGCTGGAACAGGAGAGCACCGATTACGCAGGGCACCCTTAATCGCCCTCGGGGTAAACATTACAGTACCTAGAGCTGTGTCAGCCAGCTACGCTAACCGCAACTAGATCTCGGGCCTCGTCTTCACCTCATGCGGCAGTAAGGCGAACTGGATTTCTTATTGCCCCTCAAACTTCAGTGTGGGTTAACAAAGACGAGAGCCGTCGTCGCTGCTGCTGCTGCTGCTCACTCTGACAGGATACAGCTGCTCTCCCATCTCTAGCTATCACTGCGTCTCTCTCTGCAAAGAGTGGAGGTACCAGAATGGGGTTCAAAGTGCTGCTCTATGTGTATGAAAGTCCTCCACTCTTTCCAGGAGTCCCTTTGGGTAGACCATGGCGTGCACCAGAGTCCCTACATGAGGGCACAAATAGAAAAGAATCCTCACTCTGCCTTTGCACACTTTCACCACTCCTAGCCACTGAGGGGGGGGGGGGGGGGGTCACTCGACACGATGCGGCATGTCACGAAAGGAAAGAACATCTGCGTTTGAACGACGACAGGATATGAAAAGAAACAGATACAGAACACCTTCAAGTAAAATCTGAATGGATGACTTTCTGGGATGAGGAAGAAGCGGTGCGATCCACATGGGAACCCAAACGGTTCACATTGAGACAGTGTGTCTGTGTGCGTGGGTGATTGTGTGTTTATGTGATGGTGGGCATGTGGGTGGCAGGGTGAATGGGTGATCTCCGTGAGTCAGTCAGGAAAAGTCCCAGAGAGGATCGCTGCGAGGATCTCTCTCCATTTTCCTCCTCCGCCTGCTAAATCCACAGAGTCTCTCAACAGCGGGCAGCCATTTTGAGAGTTCATGGTCAGCCGATATTCTCCTTTTTCTGTCCTCCTCACTCTTTTTTTTTTTTTTTGTCTCTTTAGCTCTCTTTTTCCAAGCAGTAGTGTCTTTTTTCTTCCCCTCCTCTCGTGCCAGGAAACCTTCACGTCCATACATCCATCTGTCCGTCCCATCTGAAAATAGCAAAAACACACTGTGCGCCCGTCTGACTTTTCCAATCCCACAATCCTCGCTGGCTGCAGTGCACAAAACAAAACGGGGAGCAACTTTTAGGGGGAAGAAGAGATCATCTTCTTTATTTCCCCCAGAGCCCCGGCAGCAGCAGTGGCAGCTTCAGCCATCTCTCCGCCCTCCACACTTTTAATCCGCACCGACTGTAACCGAACCGAAGCCACAAGGTATCAGCAAACTTTGAGAAAGAAAAACTAGTGACAAAACATCAGAGGAGAGGAGGAGGAGGAGGAGGAGGAGGAGGAGGAGTCGACAGAGTGAGAGAGAGAAAGAGCGAGAGTTAGCGGGCGTGCCGGCGGTGCCTGGCCAAATCAAAAACCCGCTCTGCCCGAGGATTGTTCCCGTAAAAGTTCCTCGTCAGACTTTGTAGTAGATGTTGGCCGGACTCTGAGGCGGCATCTCCTGAACTATGTAGACCGGGTGCCCGTAGTCGCCGCTGACCTTCTCGTAGTGCGGGCAGAAGACGCTGTCAGCAGTCCTGAGCGGGATGATGATGTCGCTGGGCTCCGAGCCGTTATTGTTCCCGCCGCCGCTCCGTTTGGGCGTGGCCAGGGTGCTTAGAGACAGCGTGGCGGCGTGCTGCGGGGAGTGCTTGCGATGCCGCCGCCGGTACTTGAGCAGCAGCAGGACCAGCATGATGATGATGATGATGAAGATGACGCTGCCCGAGGCGATGCCCACGAAGATGGCCACCTCGGAGCCGATGACGCTGGAGGACTTTCCCCCGTCGTCGTTGTCGTTGCTTTCTCTGTGTGCTACACCTGAGAGAGAGAGAGAGAGAGAGAGAGAGAGCGAGAGAGAGAGAGGGAACACAGGTGAGTCAAATGACAGAACGAGCTCTGCTTCATTTTCATCCGGGAGGCAGGCTGTAATTATACATTTAAAACCAGTTATTCCATCATCAAACACCCATTACACCCGAAACACGTTAATTCGTCTGACGTGCCATCAAATTAAATCTGATGGTAAACGAGTTTACACCTGCTGCGAGACGCCGCACTCACAGGTGACGGGCAAAGATGCTAATTCAGCTAGCGCTAAGACGTGAAATGTGACGACAAAGTTCTATTAAAATCAGCTTCACACATCTGTAGCTGCATCTCTCAGCTGAACACGACCTTGAGTTTTCAAGCCATGCATGATTTAGAAAGGGTCGAGGACTTTGAACGTTAGCGTGTTTTGGGATGGCGTGCACAAAGAGCGGAGAACGCTGTTTCCAGGAAAAACGTGCAGGAGGTGAAATGCTAAATTCCAGAAAGTTACCAAGAGGTGTTTAAAACAGCAAAACACAAAGAGGACATTTGGAAAAAGATGGAGGATTTTCCTGTAGTTTCAAAGCACACGAGCAGATTTTAGCCTCCAATCACATGTTGACCTGAACACCTCTAACCTCCGACATCACCAGTACAGGCAGCTGGTTAATTATTAAAATCAGCTGGGAGGAAATGCTTTTATCACACACGGTTAAAACCGATGAATGAATGAAAAGGTCGCCGTGACAGAGGGAGATGAGATGCAAAATCTCACTCACAGGAAATCATCAGCTGGAAACTGAAAAAAAAAAAAAAAAAAAGAGATTTTCTCACAGAATAAAATGGAGACTGAGAGAGAATCACACATCCCGGCCAATTATTGTGTGATGTTGGCGTGAGTTTGGGGTGTTTCCAACGCTACAGAGATGTGATTCTGAGGCAGCCTCCGCAAATCTGACATGAGGAAGGTGTGCGCGCTCTGATCCAAAGACACACTTTCTGACGCCTTTAAGGAAGGAGAGGAGAGAAGTGGAAGCAGGAGCTTGATGGGTTTTTTTTTTTTTTTAAAGAGCATTTGTGTCTTTTCCTGCCTTCCACCTTTTTTTATTCTGCACAATCTTTTCATCATGTCAGCGTGCAGGGAAGAGGCCAGCAGCAGCGCGGCTGAGGGTGAAGCCTGCCTATAGAATGCTTTCGTGTAAAGGTCACATTCGATCCGTTGGCTATTCAAATTCAGCCAGTGAAGACTGCAACCTTGAAAGTAGGGCGAGTGCTGCCTGATAGGAGATACAATGGCTGGGGCAGATACAGGCGAACGCCACTTAGATAAATTGCGATTCAAAAGACATAAAAAGTAACTTCATTTTCGTACTCATGGCCCCGCAGGGAGGGAAAAATACAAACGAAATATTTGATGTCCACATGAGACATGAATTATGAAAGGCAAGCTGTGCTCTGACTCGCAGCGATAGACGCTCTGGTTCTGGTCCAACACTCAGGGGCTGCTGTGTTGTGTTCTCCGTGGGACAGGAACGGGGGGATTATTGTCTCCCCCTGTCTGCTGCTGCTCTCCTGAGGGCCTGACTGTGGCTTCTCTGTGGTCGGGGGAGTGGATGCGGAGTGGCAGACAGAGCACAGAGAGGACCCTTCCCATGTTTTACACGGGGATTACAGAGCCTCAGACGCTCCGCTCAGAGCACTCCGCCCAAACGCACCCTGCTAGCGACCAGGATGGAGGAATGGGCTGAATAAAAAGATGGGAGGGGACAAGATGCTGGTGTCTGCAGGGAGAAGTGCCAACATTGGTTAGGGACGGGATTTATTTTTAAACAAAATCAAATTCAAATAAAAACTGTAACACAGAAACTATTTTGTCTTTTGAGTCATCATGTTGTTGATTGTTTGGGTTCTTATATGCATCACACGCTGTGCAAAATGTGTTTAAGACGTGTGTGCAGCGTGGAGCAGGAGAGATCAGGTCGACCTTTGCATCATTAGGCATTTGGAGAGAAAAACACTGACCTAGAGAGCGTGTGTCTGGTGCAGAGATTCAGCACATATGTGCATTTTTTCTCATTGTCACTCACACTGAAAGACACTTTTGAAGTATAATAACTTCAGGAGTGTGAAGAAATATTTTACGAACTGCTTTGGGTGATTCCGTTTTGTTTCTTTAATTGGCTAAATGTCATGAGCAACGAAAAGACTTGTGTCCAAACATCGATGCTTTTATCATCCGTTTGGTTTGTGGTTTTGCAAACACGTTTATCTGAGGCAGACGTAGAGACTGTTTGTGTGGTGTGTTTTGCAGAGTTCAGAAGGTTAGCAGGCGGCGTTAGCGTGCTCAGGTTGTAAACACAAAGCGTCTGCTGTGACCACACCCTTAATGAATCCCGGATCCAGCTAGGTCAGCTTGTTTTGGTTTCTTGGGACGTCTCCTGTTTCAGTTTTCTCTCTGAGGAAATTGCCGTTCTGATATTTTACCGTTTGTGTTTTTTTTTTTTTTTTTAAACTGCAATATAATATGAGCGATAAGAGCGAGCTGCGTGTCCGTCTGAGTTGTGACTCTGCTCCGAAACAAGCGTGCGTCTGTGCTGAGAACAGGTGGTTAAAACAGAAGAGAAAGATGGCAGACAGCGATCAGATCATTTTCCTGAAAATGTCACTTAAGCGGTGGGTTGAGGCTGGAAAGGAGCCAGCGTGGAGATACCTTATAAGTCCTTAAGAGGCCGCAGATGCCTATCAGCTTTATGGGTAACATTCAATTACTGGCTGATGAATCGCTGACCTTTCTTTCCTTCACTTTCACACACACACACACACACACACACACACACACACACACACATCTCAGTGACTCAGAACACACACCCTTTGCTTAGCGCTATCTGCTTTGAGCTGGCCGGACAATCATCAAGTACAGACGCCAAATTGTTTCAATAAATCTGCCTCGCAATCACTGCTTCCCACACTGACAACGTGATCTCACCTGGCTTCTCCAGCACGTCGTTAGGATTGTAGGTGTCCTTGTCGTCTGAGTGCTTGGGAGGGTAGGGTACTCTGGTGGGGTTGTCTTTGGGTGAAATAGGATCAGAGGGATCTGAAAAGAAGCAGATTTGATGCATAAGAAGAAGAATCACTGCATGTCTGTTGTTGTTCTTCAAAGCCCTTCATTTACTTTATGTGGTGATAATGAATAATTCTCCAAAATGTGCTAATCCTTTGGAGTTAATGCAGCCAATCGAAGTACATCCACTCAAAGTTAATTTCTTTTGTGTCCCTGACGGACTCCGATTGTTATTCTCAGTGTCTGACAACATTAGAGAAAGCATCCCTGCAGAGAGAGACCTTTGTGTTCAAGAGGAAGCCACCAGACTCCACTGACAAAAACGGTTATTTTAACCCTCGCAGGATATGCAAACCTTGGAGCAGGCTTGATCGTTCAGTTTAGTTGTGTTGCTTAAACACTGCAAAGGATTTCAAATAACCATCGGAAATGCCAAACTCAATGAATGGCACAAACATGCTTTTTGATTGAAGCAGTAGTTCACCAGCAACTCTCATTATCTGCAAAGTAAAATCAATGTTTTTCTCAATGGAGTCTGGCGGCTGTAAAGAGACAGAGCAGATTCTCGTTGAACAATCCTTCTTTGAGGAGATAACCTCTGCATGTGCTGAGCCTCGCATTGGCAGGTTTATAAAGATCACATGATGAACATCTCTGTAATCATCATAAAGGAGTCGCTCTTCAACCGATCCGCTCCGTTTAAATATTCAGAATCTGTTGTTGCTTCTGCTGAACAGACTCAATAACAGCGTCTCTAAATGGAGGAGTGATTCACTCAACATCTGCTGTCATAATGAACGCCATACTACATAAAGCTCAACCAGAAACATCACAGCTCATTTGAACCCAAATCTGGCACATTGTTGGTTTCTCTGTCAGAGTGCAGCAGCCATCCATTTATTCCTCCTGACCTTCAGAGGTCCTCAAACGTGCTGCAAACTGCAGGAAATCCCCACTCTGGGTGGCATCCAGGCGGCTGATTTATGACTAATTATGGGTGTAATTAAGATCAGTGTCTGATCTGTCTGGTGTGACTCAATAAAAAATGACGTTTTGTGAGCATCAACACAAGATGTGCGTGCATCAAAAGCCTTCTAGTTGAAGTGTACAACAGCAGATGCTTGTAGTGCATGTGTGCGTGCAAGCATACTCAATATATGTGTGTGTGTGTGTGTGTGTGTGTGTGTGTGTGTGCTCGAGTGGGTGTTTTGGTGCATTAGGACTTCCGCTAGATTACATCTCCTGCCCCCTCGCAGCCCCCAGGTGTCATGGAGACGATGGAGCTGTTTGCCGCACGGCCTCCTATGACCTTATAAGGGCATGTTCAGACACTCACACAGGCGTTCGAGGTCATGCCTGCGGGTGCTCAGTGCAATAATAATAAGAAAATACTTACTTTGTCCCACTTTCATGACTATCTTCATGGACTTGGTCTTGCACACGCCCCCCTCCTGGTTGTCGATGCCCTCCATGGTGCCGTTAGACGTGGCTGCAGCACAAACAGGGAGAGAAACAAGGTTAGGATTTATTGTCGCTGAGAGCATCTGGTGCAGAGGGAGATAAGAAGTGTGGAGGCAGCCATATCGAGTGGTTTATAAAATCTGTGATGAAATAACCTTGTGGAAATAAAACTCATGTAACTGTATGACCTTGACTTTTTTACATTTTGTGCCTTTTCTCAAACACTTTTTACTCGGAGTGAAAAACACAAAAGAGTTCTGAGTATTTACTTTCTGTTCCACTGACAGTCACAACGGACTCATTCTTTAAAGAGGGTTTATTATTTTACGGTTTGCCTCTTTTTCAACTCTGCAAGATGTAATTAATACCTCATGACATTTTTTGCTTGCTGTTTTTTTTTCTTAAAGCTGTTTCTGAGCTACAACCAAAATGAAACGACCCCGAAACAACCAGAGTCCTGAGCAAACTTTACCAAAGACAATTCTTTCCTTTTGATAAGCTGGATATTTTCATCATCAATTTCCAACACGTAAAGCTTTGTTTTCCTGCAGATATATGAGACACAATATGAGAGACGATTAAAAAACGGCTCTGTTTTTTCAGGATGAACTTTATAAAGATGACCTCAGAATCAGGAGGTGTTTGTGTTCCTCTGCACGACAGCTGATCCTGACAGATCCGAGGTGGCAGGTTTGCTTCCGAGCTGCAAGCATCTTTGTCTCCTGCTCCGAGTCGACAAACTAAAAACAATCTCATCTACCTAAAGACACGAGCGTCTCCCTATGTGTCAAACAAAACACGTAATCAAACTGACTTCTCTTTAATGCAACATCCACCTCTCTTAAGCCGTTCTGGAGTAAGTGCATTTCATTATTTTAAAAATCATATCGGGTAAGTTATTAGAAGTTGAATTATCGTAAGATTGAAGAAAGAATGACCTCAGGAAAAGGTGATGAAATGATCAAATTCAATCTGGTTTCTGCAGGTTTTTTAGTCGTTGACATTTTCCCATTAGTGGGGATATAAATTCCTGTCTTTTTGATGATCTATATTCACAGATATCTTCATTCAAAGGTTGAATATTGATGATTTAAATTGAATACCGATGAGGTGTGAGCGGTCCAGAAACACATCCATGAACATCCCGGTACTTAAATAGTCCCGATAGTTTAAGAGAGAAGCTTATCTCGTACAAACAGCCACTTCTCCGAGACAACAGAGGTGATGAACGCCTCCCGCTGACGAGCCGAATGACTCAGCCCCTCCCCTCCCCCCCTTTAATAAAATCACAATTCACCTGCTCATCACCTCAGCGTCTGCACTCAGGCTGGATCTTTCACATCCCCAAAGTCAATTAGGCTGAGTAATTGTGACGGTAATATCTCTAACTGTGCTGATGGGCCTCGTCAAGGAGGCAGTTAAGGGAGGTGAGGAGAGGGGGGGGGTGATGAGGGGGGAGAATGCAAGAATGCAAAGAGAGTGGCCATCTTGGCAAGAAATTTTGGTGGCTTATCCGGCATTAGCGCTAACAACACACGAGAGAGAGAGAGAGAGAGAGAGAGAGGTAGCCAGTTATTTAAAGAGCTCAGATTATAAAAGCCAAAGACAAATCTGCTGACATGAGATATTTTTTTTAAATCAGGCGTGTTCACATGAGAGGAGCAGAAATGGTTGATGGCACTTTTCCAGGAGAAGCAGTGAAATGAAGCTAACAGAGGGAGGTGATAAATACCTGGATGGCCCTCAGATAAAAAAGGAGCTTAAAGGATCTAAAAATCCGGAGGAGACAGAAGTGAAATGCTAAACGCTGCGTTTAAGGGACAGCAGCAGATGTTGCAGGAATCTGGAGGGGCGGAGCTCGGCGGTCCACATGTGAAGGAGGGACAGACCGGAGCTGTGAGCAGGTACACATGGAGGGGCTTAGCAATCCAAGATACATGCAGGGCACGTCTTTGATGAGTTACAAGGAGGCTCGTTTAGATTCATTTTTGACATATCTGGATGAATCTGTTTTTCTAAGTTTAAGAGAAAGAAGTGAACTGAAGGAACTCTTTGAGGCATTTTTTGGAATATTGGTTGAGAGCGGCTGCAAGATTGCACAAGACAAGTGCAATTTGTAGGTAAGTGTTGCAACATGAATTCAGTCCATGTGTGTGTGTGTGTGTACTTATAGGAAAACACGTCCCACAGTATTAAGAGTTTGTATGCTAAAATAATAAAGCTTTGATGTTCCAGGACATTTTCTCCATCTCCATTGCAGGTCATGTTTTGAAATCTCTGAAGTAAGATGGTGAGATGCAGAGATGCTTCATTCAAACAGTAAAAAAAAAACGTCTTCACTGAACAAAACTTAAACTGATAGCTCCACCATCCTCTCTTCTACCTCTGCTGCCCCTGGAGGCTGCTGTGCAAAACTGCAGTGATGTGGAAGGGAGGCGGGGGGGGGGGGGGGGGGGGGGGGTATAGTAGAGCTTGTGGTTTATCAGGTCAGTAACACAGAGGCTAACGAGCTGCCAGGGCTTAGCGGCTTGGCTTCCCGCCAGTGCGCATTGGCCCGCATTCACTGTGACTGCCTCCCACCCCACCACCACCACCTCACTGACCCCCACACCCTCCACCTCCTCTCTCCCCCCTTTTCTTCAACAGCACCCAGTCCTCCCCGGTTTCCTCCTCTTTCCACCTTGCTGTCACCACCTTCTTCACGTCTCCCCCCCTCCCCGCTGCACCCACCCAAACGCCTCTCCATCAACGTCAGGGGCATTGAAAGGCAGGTGCTTCACGGAGAAAGAAACAGGTTTGAGAAATGAAGCTGTGCCACTTCCTCCTCCTCCTACTTGTTGTCCCTTTTCTCTTTTTTTTTTTCCCTCCCTTTCCGCCCTCACAGCCACCAATCATTTTGATCCGAATCCCCTCGCTGCAACAAGACGGTGATGGGAGCGGACACAAAGAGCATGTTAACAAGGCCTCCCTCCCTCCCTCCCTCCCTCCTCCTCCTCTTCTTCTTCTTCTTCTCTCTCCTTCGTCTCTCCCTCTCTCGCTGACCTATGGCTTTTCCAGCGGAGCCCGAAAAGCACATTACAGACAAAGCTCCTTAAAGGCTTGTGCTCCTGTGTGTGTGTGTGTGTGTGTGTGTGTGTGTGTGTGTGTGTGTCTGTGCTTGTTTGCGTGTTCAGTTCATAAACCTGTTAGCACAACACTCGTGAATTTTACAACCCTGCATCGTGTCGCTAACCATATTAGCATTGTTTACTTTGCTGGGTGATTGGCACATTATCTGCATGTCGGGCGCTTGTGTTTGGGTGCACTACGCTAAAACCGCTTGAGACCGAGAGGTCATAGGTCGCTGGCTGCACAGAAGGTGTATTTAGGCCACTTGTGCCCCCTCTTCGTCTTTTGTTCTCTCCTCCCGCCTCCTGTTTGCTCTATTAAATCATTTAACACATCAACGCAGAAGTTAGAAAAACACAAACCTTGCCAACCCTCCACGTTTTTTCTTTTCTTTTTTTTTACTTGGCTGCAACATTTAATAAAAACCTGAAGAAATATCCTTCAATCTGGAGCCATCTTAAACTCAAAATCTTCCCCTTTAAATGCAGAGTAAACGGCAGAGCCTCTGTGCCAGAGCTGCAGCCGGGAGAAGCCTGACTTGGATTTAAACAGAATGTGATTGTTGAGTCGGCTGAATGACTTGGCCCTCCTCAGACCAGGCCCAGGCCGGACCGGCTGACAGACGAGCTGGCTAGAGTTAACCAGCTAATCCTTAATGACCAAGGGGGGGGAGACATGTTGGAGAAGAGGGGGGGATAGACCTGGTTTGTACATGATCCTTTAGGAATATTGCTGGAATAGTCTGATGAGACTGAAGACGGGGAGGGAACAGGAGAAAGAAGTGAGGAGAAAGAACCCTCTGCCTCAGCTTGTGTGTGACCTACTGCAGACGGACAAAGAGTGAGAAACCAGAGGGGGAAAAGGGGAACTCCATCTTTACTGTCTGCAAAAAGTCAGCTCTCAAAAACAAGCAGGAAAATGCAAGAAAAGTAAAACTATGCCCCCCCCCAAAAAAAAAAAAAAAAAAGTATTTTTGAAGGACGTTTTGATTAGATTAGTGACAAATATTTAGCGTCAAAGAAGACACAGATATCTAAAAAGGAAAACATACTGAGCCCACAGGTCTGGTGTGAATAATAGCCTCTAAGTTAGCAGCAAAGCTTCAACTAAGCATCCATTCTTTGACTTCATGAGAAAGACAAAATCCTTCAGACTGGCAGAAACGTAAGCAAAACGTATTTTTCTTCTGCTGGCTTTGTTAAAAACAAGCTGAGTAACAACCCACACATGGCTGCAGTGACGGCCTTCTTTAGGGAGTTCAGTGTTCTGAAATGATGCGATATAGTTTATAGTGCTGAGAAAAAGAAAAAAACAAAATCCTGATTAAATGGATTTGTACGAGAATGGAATTGGCAAAAATGATTGAATCTCAGGAAATACAAACGTACGTACGAGTTGAATGTCATGATGTAGATTTAACTGAATTGTTAATTTTTATGTATTCATGTTTTTTCTGCAATGAGCTGGAGAACTGGTCGGTTAAGACGAGGTTTTTAGAGCTGAAATAGACTTCAAGGCTTGCTCGGCAACGGGAGAATAAAGGTCATCAGGAAAAATCAGTCATGGCCTGTGACTAAGTACGTCTGGAGAACAAAGTGACAGCTTGAGAAGCTCTGAAAAAAATGATCCGAGGCACAAACACACACACAAATTCAACAGACCTGCACACCTTCAAACACAAACACAAACGTACGTCCTTTATAAGCCCCCACCTGCCCCTCGTCCTCGAGGTTATTCACCCCCTTTACGTTCATTTTATCCAACAAGTCCAGAGAGAAAATCAGCTCCTCAGACGGTCAGCTGTGAGCCTCGGTGACGCTAATGTAACATTCAAAACAAAGAAGCTTTTTTTTTTTTTTTTTGCAGTACTGATCATGTGAGCGTGATGGTTTTGGTTTTATAAGCAGGAGAACTGAATGT